AGGGAGGGAGGGAGGGAGGGAAAGGAAAGGAAGGGAAGGAAGGAAGGAAGGAAGGAAGGAAGGAAGGAAGGAAGGAAGGAAGGAAGGAAGGTAGGTAGGTAGGTAGGTAGGTAGGTAGGTAGGTAGGTAGGTAGGTAGGTTGGTTTAGCCATGAAGGAAGTATGCTGGGTTTAAAATCTATTTCTATAATTTCTCTGGCTTTAACTTGGTTTAACCTGGAACAGTCTTAGACAAGTAGTGAAATTTTAGATTATTCATGGTAAAACCATCTATTACAAGTTTGCTTTTTTCCCTTTTGTAGGATGAAGTGGCACATACTCTAACAGAAAGCAGAGTATTAAAGAATACTAGACATCCCTTTTTAACAGTAAGTAACTAGGAAATAGATATAATCATTTTAACATAAGTTTAATAAGTTTTGTTAAACACTTCAGCTATGGAAGGTAGTTGAAACACACATTGATTTAGGCTTGCCTTATTTTCTTTTTTTGTGGCAAGACTTTTGTTAAATTTCTTTGAAACGTATTAATTCATTTACAGTCTATTTATACTCCACTTTAACTTTGTATCTACCACTAAAATATTATTGGGGCGGGGGAAGCAGATCAAAGGAATCTCGTGGCATTTTAAGGCAACCTCTGTAAAATGGTAAACTTTTAAAAGCAATCCTTATTAATGATAATATTTTAATATTTCTTTTTATATTGGCTCTGGTAAGTATTTAAACAATCAAGTAACATAACATTTAAATAGAAAGAGTACCGATATTAATTGAATACTAGTATAGAAACCCAGAATTCCTTTAGAATTAGAGAACATTAAGATATACATTAGCACTGGAGATAGAGCACATAGAGACAGGGTAAGTCTCAGTGTATTCCTTTCTCTAGGCAAGTTGAGAACATGGTTTATTTGCATATGACTTAGTTGCTTTCAAACACATGGATTTATGTTGAGTCCTCTTTTTAGATTTCTTGCAGTAGAGACATTGTTTGCAAAGTTTCCATGTGTTACTAATTTGAGTGAAGAATGATAAAATTAAATATTATGTGCTTTCAGAAGAGGAATATGTCAGAGTTTAGGATTATCCAAAGTAGAAATTTCAGAGGTATCCCCTGGATAACTAGCATTAACATGTATTTATTTAGAGTGTAATAAGACAATTCTAAAGTTTTGATCTCTTGTGTAACCTATAAAATGATATAATCAGCTGTTGTATTGGGTCATATTATACACCCATTATGCAGAGAATAGTGATGTGACTTCATTGGGAGTCTGTATTCCCAAGGGACTACTAGAGAATTTTGAAGGCTACCTTGTGAACTAGAGTGAGTGAATACTTTGGAGACCTCTACAGTTGTAAATAGATGGCACAGTTGATTGAAAAGTGTTCATCACTGTTACTGAGTTCATATTATTTAATATTTTTATTTTAATGTTTTTCCCTCACAATTGCTATTGCTCAGTTAAACCATATGAATTTTCTGTATCTCACATTCTCTCACTTAAGCAGCCAGCCGACTTATAAGGAACTCTAAAGTTCATTTACTCAGTTTGTTCTAAGTGTTTATTTTCAGGAATATTACCATCATAAACATGTGAAATTATAACTTTTTTTTCTTTTTCATTTCAAGTCCTTGAAATATTCCTTCCAGACAAAAGACCGTTTGTGTTTTGTGATGGAATATGTTAATGGGGGAGAGGTAAGTCAAAGAAGTAAAGTAAATTAACCTATTTCATTTGCATGGGTAGTAGTGTCATTATTTAAAATGTAGGTTATAGCAATTTTCCACTTCTTGAAATGGATTTCTTTGACTGTTTCAGTTATTCAGTAGATAGTATACAATGATAAATAATGATATTTTTTCCTATTAATAATGTTTTCAAATGATAAGATCATGATGATTTTTAAGACAAAATATTTTTTCTGTATAGAGAACCATGATCCTGTTGTGATTTCCTCTGTATTTGTGTGTGCATATGAGTGTATAATATTTTTAATATAAAGTTTTGTCACAGGTATGTTTCTGAGATTATGTTACTGTATTTTAAAAACCAGAAACTTAGGTTCTCTGATGCTTTTCAAAGTTTTTTTTAAAAAAATAGACTTTTAGTGAAATTTGCAAAGTCCTTTTATTCATTGGACTTTTACCTAGTTTACGAAAATGGGATTTTTGAGGAGTTCTGTTTTCTCCAGCTTGGATATTAGAAGAGACATGATTAAATGTAAGAGAACTAAGGAATCTTGCAATGAGGACAAATTCCATTATTTTAGTAGAAAACTTATTTCCTTATGTTGTTGTTGTTGTTTAATGTCGTCGAGTCATAGACGACTCATAGCGACCCTATGAACGAACAGCCTGAGCACTGTTCGTGCATAGAGTTTCCAGAGGCAAGCCATTTTGGAAGTGGATGCTGCTCCTGCTTCCAGGCTTGATTTAGTTGGGAAGCTCCAGCCAATACTGTCCACCATGGGTGCCCATTACCACAATTGCCACATCACTGTCACAGGCTTCAACATCACAGCAACCACAAGTTACCTCTATACAGCAACGCACAGACCAGTGCTATACCACCTAGAAGAATGTTTGACAGGAAGACAATTTGATGGTCCTCAGGCCCTTTGGGCTTAAGGCCGCCTCCTGGTTCAAACCCTAGGCCCAGGCTGGCTAGCCTCACTCCAGGGACCTAGCAAACCTGCACGTCAAACACATTTCTGGAAAAGCAGTCCACTCCAAAAGCTTGCCACGATTCCTGCACTCCCGCCACCCCGCGCCTGCCTTCTGGCAAGGAAAGCTTCCCACGAGCCTGGGAGGAGCCAGCCAAACCAGGAACAACATAGCCACTTCCTTATACTTTATCTTTTTCCCTCACTGTTTTTAATCTAATGTGGGGGGAAATGTAATTTACTGTAAAAATTTTTCATTGTTGGCAATCTGAAATAAATTTGATTGTTAAATACAAATTTGTGGCTCACAAACTTTTAAACTTATTTTCTAAAAGGACACAAATATTTGTTGTAGAATATTTTCCACTAGAATTATCATGTGTAAAAATTAGATCATTGCTACAACTTCCTTCATTATGCAAGTACATTTTGAGTGCCTTGGTATTGTGAATTTACCTAAATGAATTAAATCATTGTCCTGGCATTGAAAGAATGTATGAGCTATCTATTATAAATTACAATGTGTTATACAGAAGCTAAGTACTAAATACTTTTTATAAAAGTAAATGCTTTCTGGATCATGTGACATTTAGGGTAAAGCCCTAAATGTTTAATGAAATTCTGCCAGGGGAAGTAGTTTGAGATCTTTTAGGCAGAGAGGATAGTGAGAGTGAGCATGAGGCCAGAAGAACTGGAGTGCCAGTAGGTATCCACAGCTCATATAGGTAGAAACAGAAGTTATCAGAGTGAATTAATGGGTAAACAGGAAGGGTAAAGGACATGTTTTGCAAATTTAAATTTGCAAAAGAATATATTTATGTGAAAGTATCTTGTAAGTAAGTAAGGTTTGCCTTCTTGTTCTAATTTAATTTTTGGAGTGGATAAGATTGTCATTAGGATTGAGTTAGGTTGCTGGGAGGAGGAATTGACTGAACATCAGTGGGTTGAGTTTGTGTTGTTTGGCAGTATCCCTCAAAAGGAAATGTACATGTGTGTACTCTCTCACAAACACATGTGCACATTCTTAGATAGAAAAGTTTTGCTACCAGGATTCATACAGCAGACAAATATGTGTGAGAATCAGGTAGATAAATACTTTCACAACAGCTGTGGTACCCTTAAATATATTGTTACACTCATGCATAAAAACACTCAGTATCTATTAAAGGGTGAAGGAGCCCAGTAAGGGCTGATACAAAAATATTTTCTAGGATGTCAAGGAAAAGAAACAAGGTTCAGATAGAGTACAAAATGTGCTACTATCTGTGTTAGATAAAATCAGGGTATATTCCAAATAGTGGAATAGCTGAGTCATAATGAAATTTCTATGTTCACCTTTTTGAGGAAGTGCCAGACTGTCTTTCAGAATGGTTGTACCATTTTACAATCCCACCAACAATCCTTACTTGCTGCCTGGTTAAACTTTGCCTCTCTTACTGGAGTGAGATGGTACCTCACTGTGGTTTTGATTTGCATTTCTTCATGTGTATGTTTGCCATTTGAATATCTTCCTCTGTGAAAGTCTTTCCATGTCTGTTGCCCACTTTGTAATTGGGTTATCAGTCTTTTTCTTGTGGAGGCCCAGGAGTATTCTGTAAACTTTTGTTATAAGACTCTTGTCTTAGGTGGGAGTACCAAATGTTTGTTCTCAGTCTGTAGGTTTTGTCTTCACCCTTTTGGAAACGGTTTTTATCTTTAGAAAGTATCATGCATCAATTTTATCCTCTTCAGATTGTGCATTTCTGGTTGTATTTGGCAGTCTCTAGTTTACCTTGGCTTAGCACTTCTAAGCTTGATTGCAGTTCGTCTTTTATAAACGTTACGGTTTTGGGTTTTACTCGGAGGTCTCTCTGATCCACCTTGAGTTGATTTTTGTGTTTGGTGTGAGATGTGGATCCTGTTTCAGCTTTCTGCAGATGGAAGTCCAGTTTTGCCAGCACCATTTGTTGAAAAAGTTATCATTTCCCCATTTGATAGCTTTGATTTCCTTGTTGAGTATCAGTTGACCATAGATAGCTGGGTTATTTCTGCATTTTCAGTTCTGTTCCATTGGTCTGTGTGCAAGTCATTGTACAAGTACTATGCCGTTTTGGTTACTACAGATGTGTAGTAGGTTTTGAAGTCAGGGAATGCTGTGCTTACAACCTCATTTTTGTTTCTCAGAAGTGTTTTGTTTATTCGGGGTTTCTTGCTTCTCCAAATAAATTTTATAATTTCCTTTTCAATCTCCTTGAAAAATGAATTTGTTATCTGGATTGCATTGAATGTGTAGATTGCTCTCAAAAAACTGAACATAAAAATTCCATATGACTCAGCTATTCCACTGTACACCCTGAGCACGGCATATGTGGAAAATGAGAACTGAGGCACAAATGGAGTTTTGTACACCAGTGTTCATAGCAACATTATTCACCATCACAAGAATATGGAAACAGCCCAAATGTCCAACTACAAGTGAACGGATTGAGAAATTATGGTACATTTACACAATGGAATATTGTGCATCATGCAGAAGCAATGACTGTAAATTATTATCTACCTTGGGAGGGACTGGAGAGCATTATGCTGAGTGAACTAACACAGTTACATAAGGGTAATTTTGTATAAAACCATTATTGTAGAATGAGTATAAGGATCCAAGAAGGGTGGGAGAGGGTAGAAGCAGAGGGATGAGGATGTGCAGGAGAAGGGGGAATTAATGATGGGGTTGTACTGTTTGATGGTGGTGGGGTAAGGAAAATTGAAAGAATCTGTTCTCAAAAACAATGTGATCAAATTTTGTAAATAAATTAGTATAAAATTTAAAGAAAGACATTTTTAAAAAATCAAATATGTGCATCATGTTTCTGTATGCATAGGATATTTCTAGAATTTTATCTGTATTAGGTATTGTATGTAATACTTGCTTCCAGAAAGGTAAACTCGATGCTTAGGTTATGGAAATTCAATGCTGCTTCCTGAGTGGGAAAAACACTTGCTTTGCATTTCTTTACTTCTCTGTTGACTTTCTATTTTGCACCATGTGAGGGTGTTGCTGTTAAATGCAATTGACTTAGTTCTAGCTCCTGTTGCCCCTGTGTGCAGCCGAATCGCCACCCAACTGTGTGCCGTGCTTGTTGCTAGGTTATTGCAGCCGCTCTGTCAGTGCATCTCATTGAGGGGCTTTCTGTGTTTTGCAGATCTTCCACTTTCCTGTGCACGTTGCCCTTATCCAGGGTCTGGCCTCTCCTGATAACATGTACACAGGGCTTGTGATATGTAGTTACGCCATCTAGGCTTCTAAAGCAGGCTGGCTGCATTTCTTCATGGACACATTTGTCCATTCTTCTGGCCATTTGTTGTAGACGTGTTCTTGGACAGCACCATAAGGCAGAAGTATCAATACGTCTTCATTCTCCTCTATTTCTGGTCCAGCTTTCAAATACTTATGATGTTGTTGTTGTTGTTGTACCATCGAGTCAAAACTGGCCCATAGCTGACCTTCTAGTGAGTTTTCAGAGGCCATTAATCACATGGGAGGAGATTGCCCATTCATCTTCCACAGAGCAGCTGATGGCCTTGAGCCTCGTGCTTTCAGGATTGCACAGCTGCTTGCTAGTAGGCCACCTGACAGTTACAATTCAAGTCAGAACTTGGGTCAGGTGGTATTGTAGCCCTCAAAGGTACATACTTTCTTTCAGATTGTTGTTGTTAAGTGCCATCGAGTCGAGTACAACTCATAGCGACCCTGTGAACAAAAGATCTGAACCCTGTTCTAAACTGTGCCATTCTTACACTTCCTAACACACAAGAGCCCATTGTGGAAGGCACTGTGTCAGTCCACCTAATCAAGGTTCTCCCTCTCCTTCTCCAACCCTTCACCCTTCCCAGCATCATGTCCTTCTCCAAGGAATACCTCTTAGCAACATGCCCAAAGTATGTGATGCAAAGCCTCATTATTCTTGCCTCTAAAAACTCCAGTTGTACCCTCTCCAAGACATATCTGTTTGTTCTTTTGGCTGTCTATGGAATGTTTAATGCTCTTCTCTAACACCG